CAGGGGGAGAACATGAGTGACTTAGAGTCTGAGTCCGAGTTTCTGATCCTTGGTCCTAGCCTCCCGAGAACACCTGTCAGTGTTCCCTCTCTTGAACCCGAGTTGTCACCTAGTTTGAGTTTGAGTCCTAGTTCAACACCTGAATCTGAGTCAGTAATTGTTCCTGGTCCTTCAATGCCTTATGTTCCACAGGAATCAGCACCTTCAGCACCAACTCTAGTATATCAGAGAAGAAGTAAATCTGACCTTCTCCAGAAACAAATTCAATCGTCTGAACCGGAGGTAAGTACTGAAAATGATTCCTCAAATGATGATTGTTCTATTTCTGATACTTGTGACACTAATCCAGTTGATTTACCCATTGCTTTGAGGAAGGATAAAAGATCTTGTCCCTCCTTATATCGACACCCTATCTCTCAATATGTCTCCACTAAACATCTTTCCACACAATATCAAAGTTTTATTGCAGCTGTTGATTCTGTGAAAATCCCATTATCAGTTGAAGAAGCATTGCAAAATAGAAATTGGGTCCAAGCTATGGATGAGGAAATGAGAGCACTTGAAAAAAATGGTACTTGGGAGATTATTGAAAGGCAAAGAGACAAAAAGTCGGTTGGATGCAGATGGATCTATACCGTAAAGTATAAATCTGATGGCACACTTGATCGGTACAAGGCAAGACTAGTGGCAAAAGGTTATACTCAGACATATGGTATTGATTATGAGGAGACATTTGCCCCAGTGGCAAAAATGAACACTGTTCGAATTTTACTATCTCTTGCTGCTTCATGTGGATGGGAATTGCAACAATTTGATGTTAAAAATGCATTCTTGCATGGAGACTTAGAGGAAGAAGTGTATATGGAGATTCCACCGGGTGTTGGCATAACAAATGAAGCTAACAAGGTGTGTAAATTGAAGAAAGCCTTATATGGACTAAAGCAATCCCCTCGGGCATGGTTTGGAAGATTCACAAAGGCAATGGTGTGTTTGGGCTATAAGCAAAGTCAAGGAGACCACACTTTATTTTTTAAACATTCACAGGAAGGAAAATTGACTGTACTTCTTGTTTATGTTGATGATATTATTGTTACAGGAGATGATTTGACTAAGAGACATTTGCTCAAAGAGAAATTATCGGCAGAGTTTGAGATGAAAGACCTTGGACAACTCAAGTATTTCTTGGGAATTGAGGTAGCCTACTCAAAGCAAGGCATCTTTATCTCTCAAAGGAAGTATGTTCTTGATCTTTTGCAGGAAACTGGCAAACTTGGATGCAAACCTGCAAGTGTTCCCATTGAACAAAATCACAGGATAAGCTTTGAGGAGGAAAGTGACAAAGTTGACAAGGGTCAATATCAGAGATTAGTGGGAAAATTGATTTACTTGGCACACACTAGACCAGATTTAGCATATGCAGTCAGTGTGGTGAACCAATTCATGCATGATCCGAGGGTGAGACATTTGCAGGCTGTAGACTGCGTCCTACAATATCTTAAAGCAACTCCAGGGAGAGGACTTTTGTTTAAAAGAGGTGAGAATTTAGCTATGAAGACTTACACTGATGCGGATTATGCCGGCTCAGTGAGTGATAGAAGATCTACGTCAGGCTATTGTACTTTTCTGTGTGGTAACCTTGTAGCTTGGAAGAGTAAGAAGCAAAGTGTAGTTGCTCGATCAAGCGCCGAGGCAGAATTTAGAGCTATGGCACTAGGAATTTGTGAACTATTGTGGATGAAACAAGTTCTAGAAGACTTGAAGATACAGTGTGAAGGCCCTATGAAATTGTTGTGACAATAAATCGGCTATTAGTATTGCTCATAATCCTGTTCAGCATGACAGGACTAAACACATTGAGATTGACCGACATTTTATCAAAGAGAAGTTGGATAGTGGACTGATAACTACATCTTACGTTCCTTCTGGGCATCAGCTCGCAGATGTGTTAACAAAAGGCTTACCAACAGAAAGATTCAAACAACTTACTTGCAAGCTGGGAATGATAGATATCCATTCACCAGCTTGAGGGGGAGTGTTGTAAATATTAGACTGTAAATAGTAATTAGTAGTATTAGTAATGAGGCCCATTAGTCAAAACCCATTAGGTTTTCTATTCTCTCTTATTTAAAGCATGTAGTTGCAACATTGTAAATAGAACTTTTAATTCTATCAGTGAAATATTTTACAATATATTGTTTACTAACCATTGAATTTATTTCATTGTTTTGTAATGTAGATGGAAATGATGATGACAATGAAGATGAAAAAGAGGGTCTAATTTGTTCTAAGAGTGCATCTAATATTCTTGACCTTAATGATTAGGATTTAGATTTTAGAATGTTTCACTCTTGTTTTGTTAGGCAATGTTATTATTGTTTTGGTTGGTTGAACTTAAATTTTGATGTTGTATTTAATACTTATTAGGGTTTTGTTTGGTTGAACTTAAACTTTGGTTGCTTGATGGTTAAAGTTAATGGTTGTTTGATGGTTTAACTTAATATTTATTTTGGTTGGTTGAAAGTTAATACTTGTTGATGGTTCTACTTCTATTGTAGGTGAATACTTGTCGAAAGTTTTATTTTTGATTGAAGGTTAATATTTTGATGGTTTTAGTCTTTTGTCATTTATACTTTTTAATTGTTGGTTTGATGCTTTTTTATTGAAATGTAAAAAAAATTTAAAAAAATTAAAAATAAAAAATAAAAACCTTTTAATTTTTTTAAAAAATAACATAAAGGTGGGCAAGCCTGCCGTCTACCAACCCGCCGCCTTGGTGGGACGAGCTAGATAATCATGCCCATATCAATTTGGCGGGCATGCCCGTCCTGTTTCTTTTTTGGCGGGCACGTCCCGTTTCTTTTTTTGGCAGGTTTTAGGCGGGCGGCCAATTTTGCCACCTCTAGATCCAGCACTGAATTAGAGTTCAGAAGTCTAACACAAGCCCCTGCAAACTTGCTTTGGATTCAAACTCTGTTCAAGGAACTGCACATTGCTACCAAAGTCTCTCATATTCTCTGTGACAATCAATCAGCAGTTCCTCTTGCTCACAACTCAGTCAAGCACACTAAAGCCAAACCATGGAGATTAATCTCTACTTTGTCAGAAAAAAAGTTTTGGCCAAGCAAGTGCAAGTGATTCATGTTCCAAGCACTGATCAGTGGTTGATCAGTGGGTTGATGTGCTCACAAAACCATTGGCTTCTACTGCTTTTCTAGCTCTAAGGCACAAACTCAGGGTTGTGACCACCGCATGAGTTTATGGGGTATTAGAATAAATATAGAATTCAGCTTATTAGAGTAGTTGTAATGACATCTATCAGTCCTAGAGGTATAGGTCGCCTGCTATAGCAAATCACCTTGTTAAAGTAACAAGGTGTCAACACTTTGTAATTAACCTCTTGCAAATAACAGAATTTTGTTATAGAATGAAAACAGAAATTGAATCTTCATCTAGCTTAGTTTCTAACAAGCTTGTACATGATCAATCCGGCGGAAGCATGTTTTTGAGAGAGGATGTTGCTGTCAAAGTTTATCAGTACAGAATACTCATGATGATCATTTGAAAGAGTGTTTGAGAGAGGTTTGTTTTCTTAAATATTGATTAAACAAATGTAGTGTTTTACCTATTTAATGAAGGTGAAACATACTTGACGTGAACCAATTATTTTATTATTTTTTAATGGAATTACCAGATTAATTTAATGACTCCATTATGTTCGACATTAGCTATTGAAGTGAAGGTTTTCTTCAAACAAGGAGTTTATTCTACTCCTCAAAGACTGGAACTTAAGATGCACATGGCTACATTTAAGGCATCAAAAGTATATTTTTTAACATTCTGAAAGTTTGTTAATATATGAATTGAAGCATATTAAATAGCAAACCACATGAGAAGCTTCTGTTTTTTCAAATGGAGGGTAAAGTGGATAAGCTGTTGCTTCATGAGTAACTTACTCTCTTTAAGCTGTTGCTCAAAAGGATAATTCTTTTGACTTAATCACCTCACCCTTGCACGCCTCGTGCTTGGGAGACTGTTCCGTAATATCAGGGTTATTTTAGTAAAGCACTTTGCCCCTAAACGCCTTATACTTGAGGGACTGTGTAATACCAAGACTTCTATTGAAGTACTTCGTCCTTTTAAGTCTCATGCTTGAGGGACTGTGAACGGCCATGTTTGTTTTGAGTTAAAACACTTCGCCCCTACACGCTTTGTGCTTGGGAGAACTGTGTAATGTTGAGACTTCTATTAAAGCACTTTGCCCCTACAAGGTCAGCACAACATTAAGCTAAGAGACCAGCTTGGCCCTGGTGACTCAACACTTACACGGATAAAATGGCATATTAAAAGGTCTTAAAAACTTAAACAAAGCATTTAAAGGCAGATTTATGATAATAATGACGAGCCTCGGACAAAGAATATTATTGATGACCATAAATCAACCTTAATCATGCAGACAGGACAGAGGAACGAAGAAGGCAAGTCATTCCAAATTCTCACAAACTAAGGCTTTAATGGCTCCTTGATAGTAGAGTTACAAAGATGTATTATTTTTCAAGTACAAAACCAAAAGAAGCTTTTACAAATTTTGATCCATTCCTCTCCATTATTATTTTCCCAATAAATCCCACTTGTAATTTTTCTCTAACACACACCTTAATCAAAAAAAATTGACCACAATAAAGGTGCCGCAAGATATTCCTAACCGTAATGGGACTAATTCTCAAATTGGAAACTAAACATTTGATTAATTTTTTGACTCAAATTTTGACTACTTCTCAAATAGGCAACTCGAAGAATTTCTTGTTGGAGTATAATGTTATCAACTCAGAGTAATGAAAAAAAAACAAATTGGGGAAACAGAGAGGGTTTGAACTTTCGTTGAGCTAACACACAAATCGCAGTTATAATAATACAATATTACAAAAGTAGAAAGAAAAAAAAGTTGGAAAGAGCATATAAAGAAAGAACAGTAAAGCAGCAGAGTGAATAATCAAAGGTACCTGGAAAATGAACCTGTCAAGAAGGAAGCGAAGGGAAGGGAAGAAGAGAGCGAAGAAAGGAAGAACGAAGAAATCATGGATGGTAGGGTAGGATTGTTGTTGCCAGTCAACGGAAGTGAGTTGTTGAAAAGAATCCATTGGCATCCCGAACAAACAAACAGGCAACCCTTGTTGCTAAAGTAAATAACAAAGTACATTAGTTGTCAGCGGCGGGTAGCTCATGTCCTTCAATTAATTTCAATCACAACAACTCATTTGTCTTTTTCAACTTTCACGTTTTTTTCTTCTTTCCCTACAATTTTTTAACGTTTAAGTTACTATAATCTTTTTTTTTCCCGTCACACATCTTGTAAGTTTAAGTGTAAGAACACTCTTCTAGATGTTGAATCTCATCTTTAAATTTTTTTAAAATTCATTAAACCACGCAATCTTATATATAAAAATAAAAATGAGTAAGTTATTGAAATAAATGTTGGTGTCAAACCTAAAACTAATTAGTGTATAACCGTTTTCCACTATTATTGTTACAAATAATTTCGACTAAGTTTTGTGAGAGAGTAATTTAATTCTTTAATACGTTGTTTTTGTGGTCTTAATTTTTCTGTGTATAAATAGACTAGTGGTACATGTCATTTTATTATCTTCTTCCTTATAGCTTTTGTAGCCGTCATTGCACAGTATAAATATAATTCTCTCATTTTGTTCATCCTTTTTCACCTTGTGAACTAATAATTGGTATCTAGAGCTCTGGTTCGGATCCACGGTAAAACACGGAAAACACGAGTGAAACGGTGAGGCGTTGTGTGGTTGATTTCGTTTCTTGAATTCGTGTTGAATCTTGAACGGAATCGTCACAGAATCACATTTTCTGATTATGTGGGATTGAGAAACACTGTGTTTGGTGAGATCTGAGTGATTGCACAAGGTTGAAGATGAACGGGAACGGTGGTCTGAGCACCAAGCTTCCAGTGTTTGATGGAAAAAACTGGACTTGTTTGATGATTCAGATGCGTGTATTATTCAGTGCTAAAGATGTGCTTGATCTTGTCACTGAAGGTTACGTTCCAGTAGCAGCAAATGCAACGGAGGAACAAAAGAACGCGCAGAAAGATACGAGGAATAAAGATCAGAAAGCATTGTTCTACATCCATCAGTGTGTGGATGCAAATGTGTTTGAGAAAATCGTTGATTCAATGACGGCGAAGGCTGCGTGGGATACACTGGTTAGGTGTTATGGTGGTGACGCATCAGTGAAGAAGGTGAAGTTTTAGTCCCTACGAAAGCAGTATGAGAATCTCAACATGAAGAACAATGCGAAGGTATATGAGTACATCTCTAGAGTGATTATGATCACTAATGAGATGAAAGCTTGTAGAGAAACCCTTTTTGAACAAGTAATCATTGAGAAGGTATGGAGATCCTTTACCCTTTAGTTTGATTACTGATCGCGATTTTTTAAGTCTAACTGAACTAACTGCAAGTGCACAGTCTATCGTGTAGTAATAAAGATATCGATCCCACAGAGACTCGTAATCAAACTAGTGCTATCGGGTGTTACTTTGTTTAGCTAAGGCGGAAGATGTTTTTAAGAAAGCAAATGCAAAATTAAAGGCTAGTAAAGGAAAAAATTTATAAGTTTTAAAAATACTAATAAAGAATATCGGTATGTAATGCTTTAGTTGTCGAGGATTCGACAGGTCACCGGTGCTTTTCAATTTTTGCAAATGGTTTTCAGGAGAAAATACTCGTTTAAAGACCTTTGTCTCGCGATGGTTGTTGACTCTGGTCATAATTCTAAGGCGGAATGTACGCTCTCGCTATCCCATTCGGGGTTAAAATTACTTTTTGAAAATAAATAAATTCTGATTTCTTTTAAAGTGCTTTCGCTGTGTTTAAAATTAATGTCTAGTTTTCACTATCCGGTTCAAACCCCACGCTTTCACGTGCCGGCTCTAACCTTGATAAGTTTCCCACTCTCATGGCAAAACCGTTGTAAATAGCTTTTCACTGTTGTGACAAAGGTTTGTTTAGAAAATTAGATTAAAGACCACGGCCAGAAAATTGTTTGTAAAAAGGTGAGGCGCACCGGGTAATATCGAATCTCGTTCTACTAACTTGATTACATACCAATAATAGCGGTTTAGCTAGACATGATACTTAATGCAAACGTAAATAAACAATGGCAGCAAAACAATATAACATGCATTCTGACAGAAATAAAATAATAATTCAATTTATAAAAACCTGCAAATCATACTGATCTCAAATCCTTGAGTAGTCCTCCACAATGTTGGCAGAATTCTACTTTGGCGAGAAATAAAGGTACAGAATGAATACGACAATACTGTGAATTAAAGGGAAACGAAAAGGAAATAATGCAAGAATGTAAAATTGGCTTCAGTAGAAATTTTGGCAGCACTTCGATACGTCAAATGCAACTCCCCTTCTTTGGTCCAACTGTCCTCTTTTTATAGTTAAGGATCCATGAGGAAATGTCGGAGGAAAAGGAGTTGATGGGGAGAAATCTCAGGGTAGTCATGCCTGGATTTTCTCTGTTGCGTGTGCACATTCTGTTTTGGACGTTATTCTGATATTTGGTTCATAATGATTGTGGCCCTCTTGTGACGGGCGTGTTGAACGTGACGACCGTGTTGGTCTTGTGACGTCCGTGTTGGTCGTGACGACCGTGGTGGAGCTGTGACTGTAACACCTCACTTCCCAAAATTAAATAAAATACAATTAAATCAAATAAATATCAGAGTTTCCCTTCAAAAGTGGGATATCACATTCACAAAATTCAACAAAACACTTCATTAGATGTTTTTCAAAATAAACAGCGGAAATCATCATTAGTACATCATTCTCGGCCATCCGTCAATTTACATAAAACATTCATTAACCATCAAGGTTCACCAAAATAAGATACGTCACAGGAATACAACAAATCCAATCATAATAAAAGTAAACACCCAAGTCCCGTGTTACGTATCAGAGCATCCTAAGACTCGACCAACACACCACTATCCAAGCTAGCTATGTACCTGGATTATCTGTACTTCCGAAGAAGCACAGACCACAACAACAACAAAAGGGTGAGAAAACATGATCAAAATTATCGGTAATAAGATACATGAATAAAAGGCAGTAAATAACCAAATCATCACCCCACCAACAACAAACACGACCTACTGTCCAATCATCAACACAACATACAATAATGCAAGAATGCAACTCAACACCATGCATGCAGTACCGACTCATTGGTTCATTCAATCGAACCCCGGATAGATCACTTACGCTCCTTCTGAGACATGATCTATCCCCACCATTCTCCACAAGGGAGTACGGGTGAATCACTTACGCTCCTCCTGAGACATGATTCAACCCCACCATTCTCCACAAGGGAGTACGGGTGAATCACTTACGCTCCTTCTGAGACATGATTCAACCCCACCATAATACCATGATATGCACAACACACAACTCAAGCACACTAAGTGCACGCGATCCTCCTGATCATATCACCATACATCATATATATATATATATATATATATATATATATATATATATATATATATATATATATATATATATATATATATATATATATATATATATATATATATATATATATATATATATATATATATATATATATATATATATATATATATATATATATATATATATATATATATATATATATATATATACATATATATATATATATACATATATATATATATATATATATATATATATATATATATATATATATATATATATATATATATATATACACACCAATCAATTATGTCAATTAAAATGAATAATAGGGAAATCACAATCGAACACCAAATATACGCTCTTCACCATTCACACCATTCCTATACTCACCATGGCCAAAAGGGGCCCTACGGAACGAAAGAACAAATCAAAATAGCACAAAATCATAATTTGTTGTCATGCTCGTTGGCCCACTCGCCTAGCGAGGCCTCAGCAAACGCTCGCTGCCTCACTCGCCTAGAGAACTTGCTAGCGAAGGCAGACAGTGGCTACTGGAAGTGTTCGCTACCCAACTCGCCTAGCAAATTCCTAGCGAATGCTCGCTACTAGCTCGCCTAGCGAAGGTGCTGGCGAACGTTTGCGATTTCACAAAACCCTCTCTGTCTAGAAATTAATCAGAAGCTCAAAAATCATTTGATTCTCACCAAGCCAATCCTTGTAGTCTTAGCCTAACATTCTACGACTAAACTACACGACTTATTCCAGATTTTACCCGATAAAACATCAACTCTACCGATTAAACCAATTTCGACCTAAAACGGTAAACTACTCAAAATCACCCAAACCATCCAAACAATCCTTATACGACCACATGCAAGAAGTTCACCATGACAGCAATGATCAGAAACACAACAACATACTAATCATATTCATCAAATCCCTATGGGGTTAAAGAATCCCATCTACCCAATTCATGCAATTACCAATCCCAATCAGTTTCTCCCCCTTACCTCGATTAATCGCTTCGATTAATGAAGAACCCCCAAGAATCCGACAGCCTTAGCCTTGTTCCTCTTCCTCTTGTTCTTGCTCCTCAATCTTTCTCTCCACTTGATCGTGTTTTCTCTCCTTCTCCTTTACCGTGTTTTCTCTCCTCTCCTTTCCAAAAACTCCCTAATACACCTCTTAAATTACTTAATCTAATAATAATAATAATATTACTATTAATTATCAAATTATTATCATTATTAATTATATTAATATTAATATTAAAGTCCGTAGTTCATTAAATAATCTCCACAAAAGACACGTCGAAATAAAATAACACCAAAAAGACTAAATAATTAAAATGGGTGTTACAACTCTCCCCCACTTTAATTATTTTCGTCCTTGAAAATTACCTGATGGAAACAATTCCGGATACGCTTTCCTGCATCCTGCTTTCCAATTCCCAGGTCATACTGCCTCCTGCAGCACCTCCCCACGCCACTTTCACCAAAGATATCTCCTTCCCTCGGAGTTGTTTCATCTTACGATCCTCGATCCTCAACAACATCGTCTCAACGGTAAGATTCTCCCTGACTTGAACTTCATCTCTCTGAATCACATGAGATGGGTTCGAGACATACTTTCGG